ACTTACTTACACTCAGTTACCATTTCATGTTACGTTGACCGTACTGAACAATTTGCTAAGTTAATAAAAAGCCAGATGAAATGTGCCTAAACTAAAGCAACATATAAAGATTGACTGCATAGCAACAGGAATAGACAGTAACCAGGAGTGGAGCACTGGCAATTATGCATTATCTTATACAAAATAAAAAAAATATGCATTATTTTAGTTAAGTGCAAAATAAAAAAAAAACTGCTGCCGTTGTGCACTTAAATTGTCCAGGCTTGATGCAAAATTGGAAATGCGCAAATCTGTAGAATGCTAGAGCTGGAAGAGATCTTGGAGGTCTTCTAGACCAACCCCTACTCAAGGCAAGGAGACCTTATTTATACCATCCTGGTCAACTGGTTGTCCAGTCTCTTCTTGAAAACCCAAAACTACAGGAGGCAATCCATTCCATTGATGATTCCTATTTTTCAATCCTGTGTCTGGTTGTATAATACTTTAGACCAGGGGTCTCCAACCTTGGCAACTTTAAGACTTGTGGACTTCAACTCCCAGAATTCCTGAGCCAACTGGAGGAGGAATTCTGGGAGTTGAAGTCCACAAGTCTTAAAGTTGCCAAGTTTGGGGACCCCCTGCATTAGACACTGGAAGGCAGGGCTGGGTCACAGGGTACAGGTCAAAAACTCAAAATAGTGGCCACAACCACACAATCACAGCCCTTCCATTCGTGTAGGGAAGGCAGAGGGCTTTGATCACAAGATTGTGTCTACCATCTTGGCTTTTTTGACCTTCCTGCCAGCATCCCCCTAAGTCAGATGTTAGAATTTTGCCCAGCAGAAACTTCAGTTACTATCTTTGAAAAAATATTTATGGAATGCGCTTTCGGTTTCCAAGTTGCCGCACTGCTCTTTCAAACCCCTTTCCCATAACACCCAGAGACCAGACCCAACATGCACACACACACATGACAATCCCCAAACACCTCCCCACCTGCCAAAATTCCCCACCCCCTAAAAAAAACACACAAGCATCCACATAACAGACCAAGTAATCCTGTCCAACAACTCACTGATGATGGTCCTTAAGTTCATTGTTAAGTGCAATTATAGCTCTGGGATAAAAACTATTCAGAATTCTGTGGTCCGAGTTTTAATTGTTTTGTATCATGTGCTAGAAGGCAACAGTTCATAAAGATTGTGAGCAATAATACAATATAAATATAATAATACAGTAAAGATAAGACACTGTCATGTTATAACTGATTACAATGAAATGATATGAATCGGAATATGTAAAAAATTGAGATTTGCTCAAAAAGGATGATGTGATTTACAATTAAAGTCCAATAAGGAATTAATAATAATATAATATAATATGCATATTTATATAATATGAATTTTAATAACGTATCTAGAAGGGAAAGACTGTTGATAATGTGCACAGAAGATATGTACCAACCGATACACTGTACAATGGAAAGATGGTTTTATGTTTTGTGTTTATGTTTGTGTTTGTTTATGCTTGTTAAAAAATAAAAAAATTGGTATAAAAAAAAATAAAAAAAAAATAAAAGTTTGTGAGCAGGATGGGAACAGTCTCTGGCAACTTCCTTAAACAGCGAGATGTGAAGATGTCATCCAGGGCTGGTAGCTGGAGCCCGATGATATTCTGGGCAGTTTTAATGATCCTCTGTAGAGCTTTTTTGTCCGCTACAGAGCTGCTCCCATACTATACGAGAATGCTGTATGTCAGGACACACTCAATGGTGCTCTGTTAGTAGGACAGAAGTAGATGCTGACATAGATTTTATCTTCCTGAGCATTCTCAGGAAGTACAGCCTCTTCTCTGCCTTCTTCACAAGCATGTTAGCATTCATAGTCCATTCATAGTTCATAGTAACTCCGATATTAAGTGAATCTGGCTTCCTTTTTGGTCAGAAGGTCGCAAAAAGGGATCCTATGATCCCGGGGCACTGTGACCGTCATAAATACGAACCGGTTGTCAAAGCATCTGAGTGTAAATCACGTGCAACCATGGGGATGCTGCAAAGGTCATAAGTGTGGAAAACAGTCATAAGTCACTTTTTTCCAGTGGCGTCGTAACTTCGAATGGTCACTAAAAGAGCTGTTGTAAATCGAGGGATCTGTACATGCCCTTTGCCAAGCGCCCAAATTTGGATCATGGTCAAGGGGGTCTTCAAACTTGGCAAGTTTAAGACTTGTGGACTTCAGCTCTCAGAATTCCTCCCCCAGTTATGTTAGCTCAGGAATTCTGACAACAGCTGTCTCGGTTAGCAGCAGATTTTTGGGCTCAATTGTGGCGGTAAATTGAGAACTACCTATATTTCATAAGCCTTGCAACTTTGGTGCACAGTTTCCACCACATTCTCCACCTCAGCATCTTTAAAATGACTGGACTTCAATGCTCAGAATTCCCCCACATTGGCTGGGGAATTCTGGGAGTTGAAGTCCACCAGGCTTAAAGTTGCCAAGGTTGGAGACCCCTGCTCTATGTCACACCAGCTTCTCTTGGTTGGGTGTTCAGATGGTCTCCAAGACGCCACTTTAGAGAGGGCAACATTGGGAGACCCATATCTTCACCCCTGGCTTAGGAATTGACCAAAACCGGTTGGTCATTAGGAGACATCTGATGTCTCTGGACCAAGGCTGGGCTTGGCTTGATCCAGCAGGGCTGTTCTGAAGCAGCAGTGAGTTAAGGTCTACCTCTTTGACCTCCATCCCAGAAGGTTCGAAAAAAACCCAAACTCCCTTGTGTAAATGTCCAGGTTCTTGAGTTTGATGTTCTTCTTTCTTTCAGCAATGGCGGACCATTATACCTACAGAGTTGGAAAGAAGGTTGCGGGATCCAGCAGGACCAGCGCAGAGAGAGAAAGCAGAAAGGCGGAACTGAAGGTCCATCCAGCCTATGAACAGTCCAACCTTGGTAGGCATTAGATTTTTCCAAGAGGCGTTCAAGGGAGGTCAACTTTTGACTCCACCTATGGGCTGTAGTTGGGACGCAGGTGGCTCAGTGACTAAGACGCTGAGCTTGTTGATCAGAAAGGTCGGCAGTTCGGCGGTTCAAATCCCCAGCGCCTCATAACGGACTGAGCTCCCGTTACTTGTCCCAGCTTCTGCCAACCTAGCAGTTCGAAAGCATGTAAATAATGCAAGTAGAAAAATAGGGACCACCTTTGGTGGGAAGGTAACAGCGTTCTGTGCGCCTTCGGCGTTCAGTCATGCCGGCCTTTGGCACTGTCCGAAGATGGAGATGTCTTCGGACAGTGCTGGCTCTTCAGCTTTGTAACGGAGATGAGCACTGCCTGCTAGAGCCGGAAGCTGACTAGCATGTATGTGCATGGTCTATAGGCCAGGGGTGGGCATTTGCAACCCCCATCCATTTTTGCAAGTAGAATGGAACTCAGTAAGTCCACAATTTGCCAAGGAAATTGTATGGAAAGGCTCTCAAACATTTCAGATAGGGTGTCCAACGATAGGACAATTGGAATATCTGGTTGTTGAGACGTCCGGCAACAAAGGCAATAACCCTTAGAGTTATATACCGCTTTACAGCCCTCTCTAAGCAGTTTACAAAGTCAGCATATTGCCCCCAACAATCTGGGTCCTCATTTTACCGACCTCGGAAGGACGGAAGGACGAGTCAACCTGGAGCACCTCAGGATCGAACTGCTGGCAGTTGGCAGAGTTAGCCTGCAATTCTGCATTCTCACCACTGTGCCACCACAGCTGATAGATAGATAGATAGATAGATAGATAGATAGATAGATAGATAGATAGATAGATAGATAGATAGATAGATAGATAGATAAATAGTAAGCAATAGCAGACTTACATACCGCTTCATGGTGCTTTACAGTCCTCTTTAAGCGGTTTACAAAGTCAGCCCCCGACAATCTGGGTCCTGGCTTTACCGACCTCGGAAGGATGGAAGGCTGAGTTGACCTTGAGCCAGTCAGGATCGAACTGCTGGCAGGCGGCAGAGTCAGCCCTGCAGTACTGCATTCTAACCACTGCGCCACCAGGACTCAGTGGTTAGTCATGGTGGCATAGCCAGTGACACACCAAACGAACTGTTGTAACTTGAGGACTACCTTTGTATTGGGTATGTTTGCTGCCTTGGGGTAGTTTTATTGTGATCACGTGACCATGGGGATACTGCAGTGGTTGCAAATGTGAAAAAAACAGTCCAAAGTTATTTTTTTTTTCAATTGCCATTGTCATGTTGAACCATCAGTAGATGAACCTGTCAGCTTTGGAAGCCATATTAGCACCAAACGCTTCCACACGGCCACATTCTTGAGCCTGGGAAAATGGGAGGGGGGAATTTCTTGGAGTGTATGTGGTTAGACATAATAGCATTCTTCTTTAGAGTCAAGGTCATGCCATTTCTGCACCTGGGTGAGAGGACGTCTCAAGTCAGGACGGAGGGTGATCGGAGGATGTGATGCAATGATGGCTGCAGGGGGTGGATTTGTAGTTTTTTACTTATTGCAAGGAAACCCAGAACTTTGAGATTTCCCAGATGTGCCAGTTTACTATCCAAATAAAACAAAACTTTTGAGAAGATGCCTGTCTCGGAGTTATTTGTTGGAGTGAAGGTTTTCTGGAACGCTGTCAGAACCGTTACACGTCAAGGACTACCTGAACTGCATGGAGAGAGAACTGGGCCATAGAATCAGCAAGAGTCAGACACTTTTTCAAGAGGCAATTAAGCAACTAGACTTTCTGGTTTTTCTTTGAAGATGTTTCTCTTCTCCTCCAAGAAGCTTCTTCAGCTCTGACAGGATGGTGGGGCAATGGAAGGATTTATATTCCTTGCAGACAGCTGGTCATTTGCATTCTTTTAGAAGGTCGTTGAGGCCACTTGGAGGTTTATCTGTGTCCTCAGGGCCACCTGAGTGGACCTTTCAATAGTTCCAAGAAGGTTCCCCGCCCATTTGCACTACTTGAGGGCACAGATAAACTTCCAGGTAGCCTCGACAACTTGCTAAAAGTATACAAATGACCAGCTGTCTGCAAGAAATACAAATTCTTCCATCCCCCACCATCCAGCCAGAGCTGAAGAAACTTCTCGGGTGAGAAGCCAAACATCTTCAAAGAAAAAACAGAAAGTCCACTTTTGCCTCTTAAAAAAGCACCTTTGGGACAACCATGACCTGGATGACTGAGAATCTCCTTCGACATTAAAAGCAATGTTGTTTTCAACGGCTTTCTCATTTTATTTTTCTCTCCCTCCCTTGGCAGGAAATGCAATGAACGACAAAACAGAAGGCAAACGGAAAGGAAGGCCCAAGACTGAAAACCAGGCCTTGAAAGATATTCCCGTAAGGTTTTAATTACAATTACATTTTTCTGTCTTTCCCGGAAACTGGGGAAAAAGAATGGCCTTGAATGGCTGAGCAGTCTTTTTAAGGCAGGGTGGCTCAGGAGGTGGGGAGTTTTGTTTCTTTGCTTAGATCATAGGGCTGAAAGGGAGCTCGGAGGTCTTCTAGTCCAACCCCCTCTCAAGGCAGGGGTCTTAATACCACCCCAGTCAAATGGTTGTGGAATCTTTTCTTGTAAAACTCCAGATGCTGAGTTCTAGTCCTGCCTTAGGCATGAAAGCTGGCTAGTGACTTTGGGCCGATCACCAGGAGACGGTGAGTTCTAGCCCTGCCGTAAGCATGAAAGCTGGCTGGGTGCCTGGGCCAATCACCAGGAGACAGTGAGTTCTAGTCCGGCCTTAGGCATGAAAGCCAGCTGGGTGAGTTTAGGCCAATCACCAGGAGACTGTGAGTTCTAGTCCTGCCTTAGGCATGAAAGATGGTTAGTGAGTTTAGGCCAATCACCAGGAGACTGTGAGTTCTAGTCCTGCCTTAGGCATGAAAGATGGTTAGTGACTTTGGGCCAATCACCAGGAGACAGTGAGTTCTAGCCCTGCCGTAAGCATGAAAGCTGGCTGGGTGCCTGGGCCAATCACCAGGAGACGGTGAGTTCTAGTCCCACCTTAGGCATGAAAGTCAGCTGGGTGAGTTTGGGCCAATCACCAGGAGACAGTGAGTTCTAGTCCCGCCTTAGGCATGAAAGCCAGCTGGGCGAGTCTGGGCCAATCACCAGGAGACAGTGAGTTCTAGTTGCGCCTTAGGCATGAAAGCCGGCTGGGTGAATTTGGGCCAATCATCAGGAGACGGTGAGTTCTAGTCTTGCGTTAGGCACAAAAGCCACCTGGTGAGTTTGGGCCAATTCCCATTTCCTCTAGGCAGGATGAGGGTGATGGAACTTGTGGTGCACCACTGCTGAGGAACTGCAACTGCTTTTAAGTCCCAACACATGCTGTTTAGATTCACACATGATGATTAATTTCATGGATTACTGATGAGCTCTTGGATTGCTTAAAGCCTGTGGCTGTTGGGTGAAAAAAATCTCTTTAATCCCCTGTCATTTATTTGCTTCCTGGTGGAAGAAGCAGAATTTTTCCTGCTTCTTCATTTGAACTTTCACTCATTCTGGGTGAAGGGAATTCTAGAGCAATGTTTCTCAACCACGAGGTGCGGACTTCAACTCCCACAATTCCTGTCAGCAAAGAAGAGTTGAATTCTGGGAGTTGAAGTCCACCAGTCTTAAAGTTGCCACGGTTGGAGACCTCTGTTCTAGAGGAAGCAACACGTTGCATCTTGTCACAACACTGAAGCTCAGGATCTTAAGCAATAGTGAAAGGATCAGAGAAATCCCCACCTATCAAAACTTTATTAATGGTGATTGCTTAAGCCGATAGAAGAAAATATTTGTGGCTCAAGATTGAACTGTGGGGTCCTTGGTACTCTCTGAACTTGGTTGGGGTTTATTTTTGCAGCCGCTTCATGACCCAACTTGGTAACATCAGCAGTGCTTGAAAGGAGTGAGGTTTGCTCTCTGTTTGCAAACAGAGTGCAAACCCCACTCCCTTCTAGCACTGATGATGTTACCTAATTGGCTCATGAAATGTCTGCAACAAAATAATTGATTTCAGAGAACACCATGGATCCCACAATTCTCCTCCTCCATCTCTCTGCAAACCCCTCTGCCTTCTAGCACTGATGATGTTACATAGCTGGGTCATGAAATGTCTTCAAGAAAACAACTGATCTTGGAGAGTCCCAAGGACCCCACAATTGCTTAAGCATTTGCAACACACACACAAACTCATATTGTTCCATTGGCTGTTAGCCAGGTAAGGGAATGGCATTTGGGGAAGACAGAAGTGCTTCATAGTGGGTAGTTTTGTCCTCCAATATCTTTTCCTTTATCTTTTGCCCTCTCATTCCTTCAGCCTTCCATCTCACATCAGGTTGCTGGTTCAAACACGACTTTCTATATCTAACTGCTGTTTCAAAGTTCTTTTTTGAAATTTTTTTTTTTTCATCTTGCTTATTTTCATCCTCACATAAATTCTCAAAGGAGGTATTTCCCCAACCTTGTCAAACTTTAAGATGTGTGGACTTCAACTCCCAGAAATCCCCCTCCAATATATATGGACTTCGACTTCCCCCCCTCCCAATTCCTTCGCCAGCATGTTTGGACTTCAATTCCCAGAATTCCATTCAAGCACGCGTGAACTACAACTCTCAAAATTCCCTTCTAGCATGTGTGGACTACAACTCCCAGAATTTGCCCAGCTGTTGAATTCTGAGGGTTGAAGTCCATGCATCTTAAAAAGTTGCAAAGATTGAGCTAGGGCGAGGGTCTTCACACTTGACAAGTTTAAGACTTGTGGACTTCAATTCCCAGAATTCCTGAGCTAACATGATTGGAGGAGGAATTCTGGGAGTTGAAGTCCACAAGTCTTAAAGCTGTCAAGTTTGAAGACCATTGAACTAGGGTGACATTTTAGTCAATCTGCTTCTTGGAAGATTTTAGTTCGTGTAACTATCTCTGCATGAATCTCTGTTCTTTGTTGCCTCTTCCTGTTCCCTGGATCAGGAATTTCAAGACCAGAATTTCCCTTCTAGCATGTGTGGACTATAATTCCCAAATTTGCCCAGTTGTGGAATTCTGGGAGTTGAAGTACACAAACATCTTAAAGTGATGGCAATTGAGCTAGCGGTGAAGTTTTAGTTACTCTGCTTCTTGCAAGATTTTAGTTCGTGTAACTATCTCTGCATGAGTCTCTGTTCTTGAGTTGTTTCCTTACTCTAGAATCTTACTCTACAAGGCTCATTGGAAAGCTTTGGGTTAGATATAGAATTCTTTATTGGCCAAATGTGATTGGACACACAAGGAATTGTCTTGGTGCAAATGCTCTCGGTGTACATAAAAGAAAAGATACATTCATCAAGAGTCAAGAGTCATCAGGCATAACAATAATAGTCATAGGGTAAAATAAGCAACCAAATCATACTAGGAAATAGTCAATACAAATTGTAGGATACAAGTGACCAAGTTACAGTCCTACAGCCACAAGTGGGAGGGAATGGGTGATAAAGAGTGATGAGAAGATTAATAGTAATAGTAGTGCAGACTTTGTAATAGTTGGACAGTGTTGAGGGAATTATTTGTTTAGCAGAGTGATGGCATTTGGGAAAAAACTGTTCTTGTGTCTAGTTGTTCTGAAGTTCAGTGCTCTATAGTGTCATTTTGAGGGTAGGAGTTGGAACAGTTTATGTCCAGGATGTGAAGGGTCTGTAAATATTTTCACAGCCCTCTTTTTGACTTGTGCAGTATACAGGTCCTCATGGAAGGCAAGTTGGTAGTAATTGTTTCTTCTGCAGTCCTAATTACTCTCTGGAGTCTGTGTCTGTCCGTTGGGTTGCAGAACCAAACCAGACAGTTATAGAGGTGCAGATGACAGACTCAGGTCAAACGGAGGAATACAGCGATGCTCTCTTTGAATCGTTCTGCTCCTCTTTTCTTGGGGTTTTAATTCCTTTTCTCTCTTCTCTTTTGTCTCATTTTATGGGCTTTCTCCTCTCAGCTGCCTCTGATGAATCAATGGAAGGATGAATTTAAGGCTCACTCCAGGGTGAAGTGTCCTAACTTGGGCTGCTGGCTGGAATTCCCAAGCATTTATGGCCTGAAATATCACTTCCAGCGGTGTCAGGGGGTAAGAAAGTCAGCCCAGCTGTCCTCATTTAGTGACCACCTTCATTGCAACTCTGTAGTCCTTGATTTACGACAACAATCGGGACCAGGTTTTGTCTTGTTAGTGAGACGCACAACCTTTTCTCAACCGTAGCCACTTGAAGACGGGTGGACTTCAACTCCCAGAATTCCCCAGCCAGCTGTGCTAAGATTAGCTAGCAGGCCAAAGCCACTGACCCTTCCTCTGGCTTTTTCAGCTGTCTAGGCCCGTGTTCTTCAATCTTGGCCACTGTAAGCTTTGTGAACTTCAACTCCCAGAGTTCCCCAGTCAACAATGCTGGCAGGGGAATTCTGGGAGTTGAAGTCCACAAAGCTTAAAGTTGCCAAGATTGAAGAACACGGGCTTAGACAGAGCAAAAAAGGCCAGAGGAAGGCTCAGTGGCTTTGGCCTGTTAGTTAATCTTAGCATTACCACTAGATTTTTAACTCGTCTGTTTAATGGTGCTGTATGGACTCATCCTCAAGTAAGGTAGAATGCTATGGATGTCTCAAAACTGTTTTATTTTTACGCAAGGGGTTGCAGACTAAGCTTAGAAAAATTCATACCATTAGCCAAATTGGATTATCAAGGTTAGACAGCAGAACCAATCTGTGTTTAATCTAGAACAGCTTCCCCAACCTGGCAACCCTGTACATACGCAAACTTCAAATCCTAGAATTCTCGGCAGCAGCAGCAGCAGCAGCAGCAGCAGCAGCAGTAGTGACACAGAAGAGAATTCTGGGACTTGAAGTCCATCTGAGGTCACCCAGACTAAGATGGATGTTTTGTTTTATTTTATTTTACTTTATTTTTTATTTTATATGTATTTTATTTTATTGTTTTATTTATATTTCATATTTTCTTAACTGCCCATTTCTCTCAGGGAGGGGCTGTGGGCAGTATAGAATAGAATCCATAAAATTAACATTAAAATCATACTTAATTTATTCTATTATTTTATTTATATTTCATATTTTCTTAACCACCCATTTCTCTCAGGGAGGGGCTGTGGGCAGTGTACAATCGAATCCATAAAATTAACATTAGAATCAGAATTTATTATTTTATTTATATTTAATATTTTCTTAACCACCCATTTCTCTCAGGGAAGGGCTGTGGGCAGTGTACAATCAAATCCATAAAATTAACATTAGAATCAGAATTTATTATTTTATTTATATTTAATATTTTCTTAACCACCCATTTCTCTCAGGGAAGGGCTGTGGGCAGTGTACAATCAAATCCATAAAATTAACATTAGAATCAGAATTTATTATTTTATTTATATTTAATATTTTCTTAACCACCCATTTCTCTCAGGGAAGGGCTGTGGGCAGTGTACAATCAAATCCATAAAATTAACATTAGAATCAGAATTTATTATTTTATTTATATTTAATATTTTCTTAACCACCCATTTCTCTCAGGGAGGGGCTGTGGGCAGTGTACAATCAAATCCATAAAATTAACATTAGAATCAGAATTTATTATTTTATTTATATTTAATATTTTCTTAACCACCCATTTCTGTCAGGGAGGGGCTGTGGGCAGTGTACAATGGAATCCATAAAATTAACATTAAATTCAGAATTTATTATTTTATTTAAATTTAATATTTTCTTAACCACCCGTTTCTGTCAGGGAGGGGCTGTGGCCAGTGTACAATGGAATCCATAAAATTAACATTAGAATCAGAATTTATTATTTTATTTATATTTAATATTTTCTTAACCACCCGTTTCTCTCAGGGAGGGGCTGTGGGCAGTTTAGAATAGAATTCATAAAATTAACATTAAAATCAGAATTTATTATTTTATTTATATTTAATATTTTCTTAACCACCCATTTCTCTCAGGGTGGGGCTGTGGGCAGTTTAGAATAGAATTCATAAAATTAACATTAAAATCAGAATTTATTATTTTATTTATATTTAATATTTTCTTAACCACCCATTTCTCTCAGGGAGGGGCTGTGGGGAGTGTACAATCGAATCCATAAAATTAACATTAGAATCAGAATTTATTATTTTATTTATATTTAATATTTTCTTAACCACCCGTTTCTCTCAGGGAGGGGCTGTGGGCAGTGTACAATGGAATCCATAAAATTAACATTAAAATCAGAATTTATTATTTTATTTATATTTAATATTTTCTTAACCGCCCATTTCTCTCAGGGAGGGGCTGTGGGCAGTGTACAATGGAATCCATAAAATTAACGTTAAAATCAGAATTAATTTAAGATCAGAAAATTTTAAAATTATAAAAATAATTTTGTAAAATACCAAACGGTGACCTATTCCAAGATATGGGGGGAAGGAGTTAACAGGTATTAACGGAGGTGGGGAGAGAGCCATGGCCAGCCCCATGGATGTCTGGTCCTCTGTGTTCCTCACACAAGGCCACACAGCTGTGTTTTGACCCCTTCAGAAAAGCCAAGAGATGCGTTGCATTTTTTTTCTTCTTTTGCTCAATTTCCACTATTTTCTTTCCCTTTTTCTCTTTTCCTTCCAGGGCGTCGTTGTCGAGAAACGCACCTTCCCCTGCGCGTACTGCGAAGCCGTCTTCACGTCAAAAACCCAACTGGAGAAGCATTGCCTCTGGAACCATTTGGACCGGCCGTTGCCGGCGGCCAGCCCCCCAGTGGAAAACAAAGTGCAGAAGGCAACCAGTAAGGGGGCAGGGAAGAAAAGGTAGGGGCCAGGGCCTCCGGAGAAAGAGGAAGGGCTAGGGGAAGCTGCTCCCCTTGACTGCATGGATCTGGAATGACCGCCGGCAATCAAGCCTTGGTGTAGGACAACTTCAGTGAAAGCAGCATGTTTCTGGGGTGGCTGACCAATTGGCTGGGTGAGTGGGTGGATTTATATAGGTTTCTAGGGTTTGGTGATTGAGATGCTCCAGAGGGGTTGTGCAATGTAGTGAGCCTTGTGACTTCTGCTATTCCAATAGTGGTGGGTAAATCCTATTATGCCTTAAAGGTCCTGCCGTTAGAATTTGGGTGGGAGAATGTAAATTCTTAATCCCATCAGCTCCAGCCTTCAGTGGGAACTGTGGCTGAAGGCGTTGTGTTTACTAAAAGATTGGCCCAGTCTTTCTTAATCGTTACAAAACATCCATCTCTAAAGACTTGAGGCTTCTGCTTGAGGCTATGGCAGGAAGATTGGGGCTGCTTTCTGCCTTTGTTAAGATTTATTTCTCCTTTGGGGAAATATAATATTCTGCCTCTCTTAATATGGCCCAAAATATTTCATTCTCCGAGGGTGAGGTGGGGCTTCCCACACATACATAGCCACAAGCGAATTAAATCCAACTCCCCTTGAATTCTATTGACCCTTAGCTACCGGTATCTCCTGGCAGGTGCTGCTAACCCTTCGTTGAGAAGATTCCTGTACGTAGGCTTTCAGCAAAAAAATCAGTTTAATTGAGCCTTCATCGGGACTTGGGTTTTTTGCACCTGATAGCTCCAGCCCTAACTTTTACAAGATGGTTTGGCTCAAACGCAGCCAGACAAAAAAGATTCACTTGAATCTGAGATTCAGCTACAGTATTGCGGCTGCCATCTTGACTTTTTTTGACCCCGCTACTGATGCACCTGGTCTCCGTTGGCTGAGTACTCAGGAGGCACTGCAGTTCAACCTCACCTGAGTTGCTGTTAGGACAGGGGTAGGCAACGATGGGCCCTTTAAGGCCTGTGGATTTCAATTCCCAGAATTCCTGAACCAGCAGAATTCTGGGAGTTGAAGTCCACAAGTCATAAAGGGGCCCATCGTTGCCCAGCCCTGCTGTAGGAGAAAGAGTGGCAGAACCTGGGATGGAACCAAAAGAGGAATTAGCCAAGAATCCCTACATAGCCATAAGCAGACTAAATTCAACCCCTTTTGAATCCCCTTCACTCTTATCTAACTCTAATTAGGTGCCGGCCTTAGTTGGGAAGATTCCTGCTCATGGGCTTTTAGCAATAAAGCAGCTTCATTGAACCTTCATATGTGGATTTGATAGGCTCTGTCCCATATTTGGGTAGAGCAGGTTGCCCTGATGGTCTGGTCTCTCCTCCCTGGCACAGCCTGTTCAGAGTTTTGCAGCATTATAATTCAGTGCCAGAAAAATAAACACGGATGGCTGATGCTTCGTTTAACATCTTTGTAAACATAATAAGTAGATTTTAACAAACCAGTTGTAGATTTCTCCAACATGGAGCAAACTCAGATAGAAACATGTTGCAAGTTCAGAGCAGAGCTCCAGTCTTCAGCTAGCAAGCAAGTTAGTTTCATCTTCAATAGACAGACTCAGAGCTCAATATAGCTGCAGAGCTTAATATAGAACCAGGCCTAGGCTACTTTTAATTTCAGTTTCCAGTCTAGGCTACTTCTAGTTTCAGTTTCTAAAACAGTCCTCATTGGCTGAGTTAGTTGCTATGTCTATTCATTGGCTGACCTTGTTACCAAGCTCTATTCCAGTTCATGAATATACTCTGACACAGCCGTCAAAGCGAGGAGAGCCTGTGGCCTAGAGGTTAATACATCTGCCTAATATGCAAGCGGCCTGGGTTTGAATCCCAGAAGTGTTAAGGTATTGAAGATTTAATAGCTGACCAGCTGCTGTAAATGCTGATGCAATGAGAATGAGTCGGCAGGGTATTGCCGCTTTAAGACTGAGGTTGGGCCAGCAGGGTTATTGCCACTTTAAGAAGCTGTTTATATAAAGGCAGCCATGAGAGGGCGTCTCTCTGTCCTCGTGTTCTATCTCCATTGTAGTTCTCAGTGCAGAGTAATGAAGATTGATTGCTTGTCAGGTATTTGCCTAACACGTATATGTATGTATATAGCTGTCTTGTATATAAACCACCGTTAAAAGACAAAGCCTCTGCATGCTGTGTTTTGCTCCTCGGTTGTCTCACAATAGTAGACATGCTGCAAACACTCTGACAAGAAGGGCATGGCTAACTGATGAGAGCTAAACAGTCTCCCTTTATTTCTTTGTCGGTAAATTTAAATTGAACACAACATGTGGTTCTGATCTTCCTGCCCCTCTTGACTTCTCCTTAAATCTGGCTTTCGCCCTAGAGCTGCCGAACGGACCCTGTCCCCCACCCTTCACCCTTCCAAACAATCGAAGGTGGAGAAGGCTGTCGCCTTGCAGCACCCCGAGAACGGAGAGCACGCGGCCGTGAGCCAAGGCATCAGGGCTTTGAAGACCGCTGCAGCTGGAGGTGGGGAAGGGGCTGCCACTCCGCTTGGCCAGACGCCGGGCACGCGCAGCTCCAAACATCAGGCGAGCAGGCAGGCCTTTAAGCAGGAGGAAGACCCCGAAAGGATGAAGCACAGTAAGATTAGATCTGCGTTTCTCAAAAGTTTTGGGGAGCGGAGGCAGGCACCCCTTCCCCCCCCCCCCCCCGAGTTTAAAATTTGGAATGACGTGCAGTGTTTGGCTTGCTTGCGTTGTGTTTGGGGATGGAATGGATCCACCAAATTGGGTCAACGTTCCTGCATATGCAGTATTGTCTAACTTTAGCAGGAGCCATTACAGGTAAAGTCCTCGACTTAAACAACGATTCATTTAACAATCATTCAAGGTTACAATGGCCCTGGGGGAAAAAGTGACTTATGGCCATTTTTCACACTTAGGCCCATTGCATTATCCCCAGGGTCACGTGATCAAAATTTGGATGCCTGGCCAATGGCTCAGATTTATGACTGTTGCATGTCCCAAGGTCACGTGATCCCCTTTGGCAACCTTCCAACCAGCAAAGTCATTGGGGAAGCCAGATTCACTTAACAAGCGTGTTACTAACTTAACAAGTGCAGTGATTCACTTAACCACGGAAAGAAAGAAAGAACGAAAGGCCGTAAAATGGGGAAAGATCAGTGGTGGTATTCTACCTGTTCGGCTCAGTTTGGACGATCCAGTAGTAAAACAATGCTACCATTCAGCCGAACTGGTAGTAAAAAAAACAACTACCAGTTTGGCCAAACCGGTATTTCTTTTTCCCCCTCCCAACGATCAGCTGTTCCAACGATCAGCTGTTCCAATGATCAGCTGTGCCGGGATCCCCCTCGCTGTATTACTGCTTCGCTCAGGAGGCTTTCCTGAGGTCCTGGAGGCAACAGAGCGCAGAGCGGGGGGGTGCTGCAAAAAAGAAGAAGCCACGCCCTCCCAGTCACATGGTCACGCCCACCTAGCCACGCCCCACAGAACTGGTAGTAAAAACATTTGCATCCCACCCCTGGGCAAGACTCACTTAACAACTGTTTTGCTTAGCAACAAACATTTGGGGCTCAATTGTGGTCGTAAGTTGAGAACTACCTACATACTTTTATTTTAAAAGTAAATATTGCTGGCTGATTCTGTATCTTCCTTATTTTGTGGGGGCATCCTTGAAATTGTCCTGCCTGGGTCACTGCCATTTGGAAGTTCCAGCTCTAAGCATTGTGGAATGATGAGGCATTCTTCTCTTGTGTTGTTATTTTCTAAAACCAAGTTTCTAGTCCTTATGTTCATGAAGACAAATTTAGAACTGAAAGGATAGCGACTAACGAAACCTTAGAAGCTCAAGAAGACTAAGGAGAAATTTCTTTTTTTTCAAGTTTTTTAATTTTTTTAACTTGAACATATCATCTTCCATTAAACAGTGTGTCATCTGAGTACAAATGTCCCTGTGCTATTACAATCAAAGTTTACAATATTCATTACATTGATAATAATTCTCTAATCTTACAATATTAATAATCAGCATTATAACTCTATTCATTTCTCCCTCTTAACATGTCTTTTAATGAAAATATAATATTATATTGAGTATGGTCATCTTAACAATCATATAAAATAGTCATCGTATTGTTTACATCTCTGTCTTAACATATATTCTTTATTTCACTAATCTCTATTTATTTTTCACTTCTATTTTTATTCTCCAACCATCCATAAAATAACTTCCGTGTCATATAATATTCAGTTTGTTCTTTCTTAAGGAGAAATTTCTGGGCTGAGGGATGAGGTAGGGATTGTCTATCCCATTTTATTTATTATTTTATATATTGATTTGCCAAATTTCTACCCAGATGTGATCCAAAGATTTGACAGCCAAGGAAATTCTAGAATTAAAATTACCATTGAACAGAACTTTATTTGGCCAAGTGTGGTCAGACACACAAGGGATTTGTCACTATAAAAAGAGTAGAACCACAAAAAGGTACAAAGAGTAAAAATAGAAAAAGGACAGGGCATGATAAAAGTCAGGAAAAGTCTAATCGGATTTATTGAATCTAATAATTAGATTTAACCCCTGGTTATTTTCTTCTTTCTTTTCAAGGCCATTAGTTGAGGAATAAATCATGCAAAAAACAACAACAACAACCAAGTACTAATTGCAGAAGGGCGACTCAACACCCAGGGGTTTGACCAAAGTTTTATTTCTGTTTTCTCCTTTTTGAGTTAGGAAGGAAACAGAAAACGCCTAAGAAATTTACTGGAGAGCAGCCGTCCATCTCAGGAACGTTTGGATTAAAAGGTAAAAAAAAAAAGATTTCTCCATTTTCATTCCTCTCCCCGAATCCAATAATAACTCAACAACACAGGAACATTTGAAGTCTTTTTATCTCCAAAGGTGGGGGGTGGGTCTCTCTTCATCCATTTTTCTGGCACAAAATTCATGGTTCATATGGACTAGTAACCGATCTCTGCTGAGTTGCCTGAAAAGGAGAGGAAGGCAGGTAGAAGGTTTTTCAACACTTGCTGCTTCTCTCTCCTCCATTTCTGACTTTGGCATTGTGCGCTTTCTTGGGCTGGGTGGACTTGCTCATGACTTGGATGAGGAGATAGATGGGGAACTCATCAAATTTGCAGATGACACCAAGCTGGCAGAAATAGCCAAACAGCCCAAAAGATGGGCTTAAGATACAGAAGGATCTTGGCAGACTGGAACATTGGGCGATATCTAACAAAATGAAATTCAATGGGGGGAAAAGCAAGGTTCTACATTTATGCAAGAAAAACAAAATACACAGGTACAGTATATAGGTGGTACCTTGCTCAATAGTAGGAACTATAAGAGGGACCTCGGAATCCTAGTGGACAACCATTAAATATAAGTCAGCTGTGCGCAGCAGCTGCCAAAAAAGCCATCACATTTCTAGGCTGCATTAACAGACGGATAGAATCAAGATCACGTAAAGTGTTAATGCCACTTTATAAGGCCTTGGTAAGATCACACTTGGAATACCGCATCCAGTTTTGGTCTCCACAATATTAAAAAAAAAAGATGTTGAGACTAGCAAGAGTGCAGAGAAGAGCAACAAAGAGGATTAGGGACTGGAGGCCAAAACATATGAAGAACAGTTGCAGGAACTGAGTATGTCTAGCCTGATGAAAAGAAAACTAGGGAAGACACGATAGCAGTGTTCCAATATCTCAGGGGCTGCCCCAGAGAAGAGGGAGTCAAGCTATTCTCCAAAGCACCTGAGGGCAGGACAAGAAACAATGGGTGGGAATAATCAAGGAGAGAAGCAACCTGGAACTAAGGTTGTTGACAGAGCAATTAATCAGTGGAACAACTTGCCTCCAGAAGTTGTGAATGCTCCAACACTGGAAGTTTTAAAGAAGAGGCTGGACAAGCATTTGTCTGAAATGGTACAGGGTTTCCTGACTAAGCAAGGGGTTGGACTAGAAGACCTCCAAGGTCCCTTCCAACTGTTTATGTATGCTATTCCTATTCCTTATTCTATTCTATTCCTTATTCTATTCTATTCTATTCCGTTCCGTTCCGTTCTATTCCATATTCTATTCCATATTCTTATGTCTTCTGTTCTATTCTATTCTATTCTATTCTATTCTATTCTATTCTATTCTATTCTATTCTATTCTATTGTTATTCCATATTATTCTATTCTATTCTATTCTATTCCATTCCATATTCCATTCCATTCCATTCCATATTCTATTCTGTTCTGTTCTGTTCTGTTGTTATTCCATATTATTCTATTCCACTGGAAGTTTTTAAAAAGATGTTGGATAACCATTTGTCTGATATGCCTAGGCAGAGGGGGTGGACTAGAAGACCTCCAAGGTCTGCTCCATCTCTGTTATTCTATTCTATTCTATTCTATTCTATTCTATTCTATTCTATTCTATTCCATTCCATTCCATTCTATGGTCACTCTCACCAGCTGGACAACTGCAATGTGCAGTGCATGGGGCTGCCCTTGACGACGATCTGGAAGCTACAACTGGCCCAGAATCTTGCAGCGTGCTCAGTATTGGGTGCATTTTTTAGGTGCACTGCCCCTGCCTCCCCAGTTTCCTTCCAGGTGCAGTTTAAGATGCTGGTCCTTACCTTTAAAGACCTATACAGACAGTTCTCGACTTATGACTGATCTATAACATTTAGTTAGAGTTCAGCCCGGATTAATGTCTGGAAAGGAGACCACCAGCAGATCCCTATTGCTATCAGCCAGCCTGGGAAATCAGAAACAAAGACGCCACTGGTTGAGCCCTACTGGAAAACATCTTATGGGGCTGGTATTGGACCTGGGGCTCAAAGATTCTGAATGCTGGGTTTTGGCTTTGCAGCAGACAAGTTCTAGTTGTTTTTAAGTTTGGTTTAATCTTTAATAACCAAATGGAGTGGACTGGCCCTTTCTCTTCCATAGAGATTTAGGAGGTCTGTTTGCACCCTTGTGTGCCCTGCTAGGACTTTCCCAGGATATCCTATCTGGTTCTTCTAAGCCAGAGACTGATGGGTCCTTCCTTGGGGGTCTCTGAGCTTGGTGGTTTTCTTGCAGACGTTTCATTACCAAACTAGGTAATATCATCAGCACTGTTGATGTTACCTACTTTGAGCTGCAAGAAAACCACCAAGTTAAGAGAGCACAAACACCCTCACAATCCTCCTCCTCCTCCTCCTCCTCCTCCTCCTCTTCCTCCTGTCCACAAATCTCCCTCCCTTCTAGCACTGATGATGTTACCTAGTTGAGTAATTAAATGTTTACAAGAAAACCACCAAGTTAAGAGAGCACAAAAGACCCCACAGTTGTCCTCCTCCTCTTCCCCCTCCCCCTCCTCTTCCTCTCCACATTCCTCAGTTCCTTCTAGCACTGATGCTGTTACCTAGTTTGGTAATGAAACGTCTGCAAAAAAAAAACCCACCAAACTCCTAAAGCACCAAGGACCTCACCGTCCTCCTCCTCTCCACGTCCCACACTCCTTCGACCACTGATGATGTTACTTAGCTGGGTTATGAAATGTCTGTAAGAAAACAACCAAGCTCAGAGAGCGCCAAGGACCCCCTCATTTCAACCCTGAGCTAATATTCTCCCTTATCGAAGCCAGAGATGCGCAACGCTTATCCATTCCAAATATTAATTTCTGCTTATCAACAGGGCTGGCGAAAGCAGAAGACAAGGCTAAGGCTCATCGCGCAAAGAAATTGGAAGCTTCCTTCCTCAGCGGTAACACTGAAGATCATAAGAAAAAGCATGCGGGATCCAATGCGAAAAAAGAGGCCGCCGCCTTAGCAACCGCTCCTTCGACCACAGGTAAGATTGAGCAAGGGGCTCTCTTTGCAGCCATTCCCTTGTTTCTCCAAGTCAAATGTTTTTCAAACGTGGCCCCTTTAAGATAGGTGGACTTCAGCTCCCAGAATTCCCCTGCCAGCTGTGTGACCAGGAGAGTGCAGACTTGCAGGAGGTGAGTTTGGAACAACTTTGCACCTGTGCAAAGTGCGGTGTTTGTCGCGCAGGCGCACACAAAGTATGTGCACGCATGCAAAACACGTCCACCAAGCCATGCCTGTTAGGGATAACATGGTTACCTAACTTAGTTTGGGTAAAATAATATATATAGACTATGATTGTGTGTATCACTTTAAATGCAGACCATGTATTTTGGGTGCGGTTGTAAAATCACCATAAGAGGGAGCAAGAGAGCTCACTGTTTGCTGGCTTTTACTGGATTGCTGACAATGATGGATTGATGGTGATAACTGCGTGTTTTCCCTGCTATTGCTGAACGAAGAAAAGAGGTTTGATTTTCTTCATATCTCTAACTGCAAAAGGAGATATATTACTGGACTGATTATTTGTAAGTTTACTGACCTCTTTTTTGACACTGGACTTTGCTAATGAATAATCCCCGGACGGACTGAACTTAGTGTATGATATATGGACTGTTTGACTATGCTAACAATCTTACTGGAATAAACTATTTAACTAGCACATTGTATCTGTTTTACTGAGTGTAAACTACAACAACGTTTATCTCACATATCTGCCTGCCTGACTGACTACCGTTGCACGTTCTGCTAGGGTGTATATCCCTAACAATGCCCACCAAAACCGGTGATAAAAAATCTTTGAATCCCACCACTGAGTAGAAGAGAACAACATTACAACTGCATCTTTTTTGCTTTTACACAACAGGATGTACAAGTCCCAAGGGTATTTTTTCAAGAGGTCATTGGATTTTTCTGGGTTTTTTTTTTTTTTTCTTGGAAGACGTTTCGCTTCTCATCCAAGAAGCTTCTTCAGCTCTGACTGGATGGTGGGGAATGGAAGCTTGTCCACCCCAAAGATAAAACACCCAGACACCAAGTAAGCAACGTGGCATATGCAGTACAATGCAGATCTGTACATTGGGGAAACAAAACAGCCACTTCATAAGCGCATGGCACAACATAGGACAGTGATGGCTAACCTATGACATGCATGTCACTCGTGACACGCCAAGGCACTTTGACTGACACGCCTGTTGGTGTGGGGAAAACCTGCACATTTAGAGGCTGCCTGTGCTCTGCTCCAATTCCTGCTCCCTGCTTGTTGCGTGGAGGCGTGGTGTCACCGCTGCCGCGAGATCTTTGCAGCAGAGAGCCAGTTTTAACCGCCATAAACTGAGGTTTGTCAGTTTCATTACCTCAGGAATGCTACAGGAGGAAAGGAGATCCATGAGGTTCACAGCCCTGTAAGGTGGCCTTCCGATCCCCACATCCTGCACCTGCAGCCCTGAGACCAGGGAGACGAGTTTCACAGCCCTGTGTGATCACCCCCAGCCCAGTCCGTCATAAACCAAATTATTGATCTTTCTTGAAGTGACACACGACCCGAGGAAGGCTACACTTTTTCCCGATTTTCGACACACCAAGCTGAAAAGGTTAGCCATCACTGACATAGGAGAACAAATCCACCAGGACTAGATGCAGCAGTCCATCTTCATTTGAAAGACACAGGCCACTCTGTGGAAGACAGCAAAGTCCACATTGTGGACAGAGAGGAACACTGGTTTGAAAAAAGGAGATCAAAGAGGCCATCCATATCAAAATTGAACAGGCTTCTCTCATCAGAGGGGGAGGGGTACGACATCATCTATTTCTAGTCTACAACACGGTCCTTTCAGCCGGTCCAAGAAGGCTCCACACCCATTTGCACCACTCAGGTGACCCTGAGGACACAAATAAAACCTCCAAGGGGCCTCAACAGCTCTCTAAAAAGAATGCAAATGTCATTTGCATTCTTGACCAGCTATCTGCAAGGAGTATAAATCCTTCCAGCCTCCATCATTCAGTCAGAACTGAAGAAGCTTCTTGAATGAGAAGTGAAAAGTCTTCAAAAGAAAAAGAAGGAAGCCCAATTACCTCTTGATAAAGCACCTTTGGGACAACCATGACCTGGATGACTGTGAATCTGCATAGACAGTATATGCAAGCCATTTCTATATAAGCTTATCTAGTTAACAAAATCAAAATTTCATATATATATATATATTGCCATTGCAAGCATAAAATCCAGAAGCAATTTTAGAATAAAAAGAAAGTTTAGATCTATTCTTTGGATAAAAGAATCAATTTGACCATCTCTGCTTCTCTTTCCTGCAGGGAATAATATATGCTTCTGTTAACTCATTAACCTTTATCACACTTTATATTAAGAAAATCCTCTGTATGGTTTCAAATTTTTTTAACCCTAAAGGGAGAAAACTCTTTTTTTTTAGTTTTGATATTTTACAAACTTTAAAAAATACTTAAGTATCACATCCAAAGGAGAAAAAAAGAATTGCTGTCTGATTTCCAACAGGCACCAAACAGATAAAAGTAAATAAAACAGATAAAAAGTAAAGTTAAAAAAAAATGGATATCCTTCACTCTGAATTTTGTCTGCCACTGAAAGTTTGGTTTTTGTTTTTTTCTCCTGTCTTGGAAACCCATAAAGTTCCATGGTTAGTTGGCCTTCAGATACCCCCCTTTCCTGCATTTTGAAATTTTGGCAAATAATCTGCAGACCTTTAAAAGCCAAAATGTGCTTCTCTGGGATCAGCCCAAAATAGATTTATCTGGAAAATCTCTTACTGGACTGAAGACAGCTGGATATCCCAAGTAAACACATCAGCAACTTCTTCTAGCCAATTCAGGATTTGAATCTGAAGTTGACGTCGCAAACAACTCGGCAAGCCTACATTGATCCATGGATGGGAGTTTAAGCCAACCCCATATTTATTGTGGCTGCTTCATAATTTCTGTAACTGCTGGCAGGCCATTGGTTGTTGTATTTTTCAAGAATGTTGTGATTTAAAACTGAATTGTGTCTAAGGTTTTATATCCTTTGCAGGGGTTGTATCACCCAGCAGTGGTTGTTTTGATTTTCAGCTGTTTAAGTGACTTCTGATCCAGCCAGACAATTTGGTTATTGGCTAAATTAACCTAGAAATAAGAAGAAATTTTCTGACAAGTGGAACAATTAACCCATGGAATGGCTTTGCCTTCAGAAGTTGTGGGTACTCCATCACTGGAGGCTTTTAGGAAGAAACAGGACAGCCACTAGTCAGAAATGGTCTAGCGGTCTTCTGCTTGAGCAGGGTTATTGGACTAGATGACCAACAAGGTCCCTTCCAATTCTGTTATTCTAAGTTAAATAAGAACTTCAGGTAGTCCTCAACTTGTAACCATCCATTTAGTGACAGTTCAAAGTTGCAATGGCACTGAAAAAAAATGACTTATGACTGGTTTTCACCCATGACTATTGTAGCATTCTTATGGTCACCGGGAGAGTATGAGTTCTAGTCCTGCTTTTAGGTATAAAAACTGCAGGATGACTTTTGAGCCAATCACCTGGAGACGGTGAGTTCTAGTCCTGCCTTAAGCATGAAAGCCGGCTGGGTGACTTTGCCAATCACCAAGTTACAGTGAGTTCTAATCCTCCTTTAGGCATGAAAGCCGCCTGGGTAACTTTGGGCCAATAGCCAGGAGACAGTGAGTTCTAGTCCTGCCTTAGGCATGAAAGCCGTCTGGGTGACTTTGCCAAACACCAGGTTACAGTGAGTTCTAGTCCCCTCTTAGGCATGAAAGCCGATTGATTGGGCCAATCACCAGGAAACTGTGAATTCCAGTCCTGCCTTAGGCAGGAAAGCTGGCTGGGTGACTTTGAGCCAGTCACTCTTTCTCTCAGCCCATGCCATCTCACAGGGTTGTTGTGGGGAAAATAGGAGGAGGAAATAGTATTAGGTCCGTTCGCTGCCTTGAGTTATTTATTTAAAACAACCAAAAGCAGGGAAATAAATGTACATAAAAACAAACGAGAATGAAAGCAACCCTATACTGCATATTGTTCCTGAGAAGCCAAAATGGAGTTTCTGGGATCAAACCAAAATGGAGACTTCTCAGTGTTGAACCCGACCAGCATTCATGATTTGTCTTTTTTTTTTTTTTCTTTCTCTCTTCTCCAGCGACCCCTGAGGAGCAGTGGCAGCGGATAATCAATGAGAAGGGAGAGGTGGCTTGCCCGACCTGTGGCATGATCACCCGGAAGACAGTCTTAGGTCT